GAAGGCAGAGAGAGACAGCTCGCATAGCAAAGTCCCACAGATATGTCCAAGACAGGCAGAAAATGAAAACTCAACCTCTGGAAGCAGCAAAAAGCAGCATTTGTTAGAGGCGGTGAAATGCAAAAAGGAGGGGAAGGACATGAGATTAGCAGCAGGTGACTCAGAGTTTCGGCAGAAGTCTTGCTGCTCAGATAACAGAGGTGAGTAGTGAGGCTATACTGCTCGAGAGCGACACATTATCTCGGTTATAAAAGAGCGATGATGTAGGGCAAAGCCTGCAAACCTGCAGATGAGCTGCAGTCAGCTGCACAGTCAAAGCCTTTTTTTCCTTGAAAGACTTCGCAAAAACCAGTCACAGAAACTGGAAACCTCCAGATGTTCTGTAAAAAGAATGGGATGTGAAACCTGTACCCCAACTAATGAATCCGATTTAACAAATTCAGATTAAGGGAATCTCTTCCTCACTCACAACGAAAACATTTATCCCATGTGATCAGGAGAAAGCATTCACATTTTAAGTACTGTAGTGATGGGTATTAACATAACAGGCCAGCAAGGGACAGAGCCACTCAGACCAGAATCCCAGGATCGAATGAAGGTCACACAGTGCATGCGTAGATACCAGCATGTGTAGGTACCAGCCTGAGTGTTGAACTGCTACATTCCGAGAGCTTTTTTTAAGCTGAAGCCCTCACCTGCTCTTTTCTGAAGTCACTTCCTTGTTTTGCAGATGCGACTGGAGAAGGACAAATTTTCTGTAAATCTTGATGTGAAGCATTTCTCCCCTGAGGAGCTAAAAGTGAAGGTGCTTGGGGACATGATAGAAATTCATGGGAAACATGAGGAGCGCCAGGTACTTCTACTTTAACTGTGCGACTGATAGAGTCAGTGTGAACTTCCTCATCTATGGTTAAACGAGGAGACTGCAAAACAATCCTCTCCTGGGCTCGTCTCAAATACTTCTAATGATTTTTTTCAACCAATCCTAAAGGAAGATGTTCTGTGCAACCCTCCAAGCTGATCCCAGACTGGGCAGCAACAGGGTGGAGAATTGTTGCTGGTGTTACATGAACTGTGAACTGAACTGGAAAAGCATCTTTGAAATGGGCATTTCTAGTCCTCCCTCTTTCTGGGAAGAGGCCTGGAATGCGGGGAGCCAACAATGAACTGTCATAATTAAACCACACAATGAACCAGTGCATTGCCCTGTTCTGTCACCATGAGGCGACCTCTTCTTGAGGGGCCCATCTATCAGTTTGTAATACTTAAATGTTGTCTTCTTCTGTCAGTCATCCCACTGTTTGCTGGCTTTGGAGACCTGTGTGGGAACTGGGCAGACAGAAGCCAAAAGCCATGTCCAAAGCTGTTTGTATCAGGGTTTGTCAGTTCCCATCTTCCCCCGTCCCCACCTTTTTGCCACAGCAATTGTCAGCTTAAAGAACTTCTGGGAGCACAGATCTGTCAGTCGGGAAATGCAGCATTACTTGTAGCTGGTGGAATCCTGTAATCTTGACACAGCTGCAAAGTTTTTTGGCCAACAAAATGATCAATCACTATTGCAGAGATCAGATCTAGAAATCTGTGTATTACTAGAGCTCTGGAGACCCTCAGGAACATGTGTGGTTGGCACTGCATCTAGGTTTAGCTGCTGCATCTTAGGGATGACAGCCCACCACTGTCCAATGACGCCAGTCTCTGGCTGCCACAAGAGCTGAAACATAAAGCCTCCTGCTGCAAACAAGTGTACCTGCAGCCTAAGCAGGGCAGTGTCTCACTTCAGCCAGTCTTGGCTCTTTAAAAAGGCCATCTCATAAGGAAAATGCCTTTAACTTTCTGAAAAGTTTCCTTTGAGAGCTGGAGCTTCCCAATCTCAGACTTTATGCAAAGGGCCCATGATTTAGGTAGAACTGAGTGAACATTTCTAATCAGGACTGTTCCTTCTCTTCTCCTTTTGAAGGATGAGCATGGCTTTATTGCCAGGGAGTTCAACAGGAAATACAGGATTCCAGATGACGTGGACCCCCTGACCATAACCTCATCACTCTCTCTGGATGGTGTCCTGACTGTGAGCGCACCGAGGAAACTAAGTGATGTCCCTGAGCGCGCTATCCCCATCACCCGTGAAGAGAAGCCTGCCATTGCAGGAGCCCAAAGGAAGTAGGCTGCTATTTAAAGTCACCCTGGGGGGCCATTCAAGAGCACTTTTCATCAGATGCCAACTATACTGAATGGCTACTCTTATTATTTATGCTGAGTAAGTTTACTAACAAATAAAAAATGAATAAGCAGTTTGTATTTTTTTTGTTTTGTTTTGAGCACTGAGGATAAAGGAAGCACTGGGTCAAGCAAGCTGTGTAAGGTTGCTGCACAGGGAAACATACGTGGCATCACTCTCGCTTACAGCTCGAGTGGCAGGTGTCCAGGAGAGTTTGTCTTGGTGTTCAGAAACACTTCGCTAGTTTCACTTTCTGTACTGTAATGTTCTGCAAACATCTAATTGCATGAGCTTTTTCCTTCAATGCTGCCAGAGGATTTCAGAATGTTTCATGAGCAACAGAAAAGTTTCTCCAGTGGAGAGTAGACTGGTAAAACAACTTCATGACAACAGAAAACCATTTGAAATGTGGGTATTAGATAACCACTGAATGGAAGACAGTTGTATCTTATATCTCTAGAATGACCTATGTTATGGAAAGCATCCAAATGCTGCAGCCAATTCAGAGCAGTTGCAGATGACAACTGCATACGTGCAGCAAACACAGGTACATACAGAGAAGACAAAAATGTCCTGCTCTCACAGTGCCAATCACATAACTTAGAAACTATGTTGTCAGTGTTCTTCAAAGAATAAACAGGATCTGATGTCTACAGTATTAACCTGGATTATGCTAGCATTGTTGAGTGGCACAAAATACTACTAAGTCCTTCTCAGGTGTCATCATCTGTTCAGCACCTCTTTTCAAAAGGACATGAGTATAAAAGAAAGTCTGTATTACTGGAACTGAATTTCTAACATTCATTTCCAAAAAGGACAGAATGCCATAGAGCTGTCGCACAAACCATCAGATTCAGTTATGACTCGACCTATTTTCTATGTTGCTTAGACCTGCTAAGACAAAAGTTATATTAGAAGGGTTCAGTTTAAATCCCGGATGAACTGAGAGGACAACCTTCTTGCATGGCTTTAAGCCAGAAAAATAAAATGAGCACTCGGTGATGTGGGGTCATTGTCGAACACCCTAGATCCCACCTGTCAAGGTCTAGTGTTTCCTATTAGCTGGTTCTAACAAGCTCTTCTGGTTAAGGTGTTAATTGGGCTTGACTGACAAAGTACAGGGTGACTGGTGATGTGCAGTCACCACTGCACACAAGAGAAATGACAGAAACACATACAGGTTACAGACTTATGGAACTTCACGAGGTTCCCCTTCGCCCAGCTTCTCACTGGATGGCAGCACAGCCTTTCTGTGTGTCAGCTACTCCTGTCATTTCATACCATCAGGGAGCTTGCTGAGAGTGCATTCTGTCCCTTCATCTAGGTTGTTGATGAAAATACTGAGCAAAACTGGGCCCAGTACTGATCCCTGGGGAACACCACCGGCCACAGGCCTCCAGCTTGACTCTGTGCTGCTGATCACAACCCTCTGAACTGTTGTTGAGCCAGTTCACAATCCACCTCACGGTCCAATCATCTATCCCACATTTCTTACCTACGAGGATGTTACGGGGCACAGTGAAGAGGAGTGAGGCCACTGCTCCAAGGAGCAAGACTGAAATTAAAGAAGAAAGCATTGCTCGCTCCTGTAGTGGAACTGTTGTGGGGCACTCCTCAGATAAAAGGGTGCTGACTGTTGCCTTTCTGCATTTTTCAAAACCAGTAGAAAGGACTAGGAGCAGTACTTCGGAAGGAGAAGCTACTGACGGGAGGATTACCTCTGATGTATTTGTGGCTGGAGATGGAAAAGATAATGCCCTGTGTACACACCAAATCAAGTAACCAGTGGTTGTCTCAACAGAGATTTGCTATAACCCCAATCAGGAAAAGCAGGAGGACATGCTGTGTTGCTTCTTGATGCCAAAAAGAGGTTTTTTTGAAGGGGAAGGGGAAGTAGGGGGAAGGGGTAACGTGGTAAGTGTCTGTTTTCCGTAACTGTGACACTGGATCTCTCAGCTTCACGGTACCGATCACCTCTCAGAGACACTTACGAGCCCTTTGAAACAGACACCCTTCCGCTGTCACTACCCGTGCGACTCCAGAAACACTGTCCTCGCCCTGTGCGGCAGCTGAGGGCACAAAAACAGCACG